GGTCAGGCTGTCAGTTAGTTGCATAAAAAAATCCACTGAAGATTCTTAGTACTTCAGAGCAGTACTTTTTTGAGAGGAGAAAAAAAAAGTCTGCCCAGCTTTTATTTCTTATATGAAAAAAAAATGCATTAATCTGCATAAACTCACATTTTTTTCCACAGAGGCAAGATTTTGCCTTGTTATCAATGTCATCCCCTTATTCATTTTTAAATTCTGTACTGGCACAAAAATATTTCTTTTCCATGACTGTTATAAAAAAAAAAAAAAAAATCACCTTTCACCACAGCTTGGGTGGGCTTCTTGCTCTCTGGCTGGCTGCTTGTACCTTCACTTCACTATCCTCTATTTGCTTGTTTCATCAGCTCAGCTGTTCATCCTGGAAAGGATGTCTGGTTTCTGTCATGGGTAGCTAGGATGGCTCCACAAGTCACATGCATCCAGAGGAGCTCCAGGATAAGTTTGTGCAAAGTAAACCCATGAGACCCATGGAATAAGCCTTCCCCATTTTATGCCTATTGTGGTCAACGTTGCAACAACTTCTAGTTTGTTTTTTATTACTTTGATCTACAAAAGGAACAGGAGAACCCAGGCAGAGGAAACCAAAGCTACATTCAAAAGTTTTTGGCTGTACCAGGAGTGCTGAATGGCCTGAATTTATCATATATTTGATAATCCAGAATGGAAATTGCTGTAAAAAAATCAGGATTTTTCTTCTCTCCTATGAAAATTTGTTACATTGCACATTGACTTCTTGTTCGATGAGAAAAAAAGAAGTAAAATGTTGTAGGCCATTTATATTGGGTAGTCAAGGCTTTGAAAATTCTTTTGATACTGAACTAATGCAGTTAGTTGCTTAACAGCAGAAGGCACAACCCTTATCAGGCTAATTACAAGTCAGATGGAGCCAATTGAACAATACTGAATTATTAAGGTCTTACTGTACATTCTCAGGCTGTTAATATCTATTAGATTACAGCTGCATTATACTGAGTGTCATTTCAGCAGGAGATTAGAAAGTACATTTATAATTCTGGCTACCCTTTGGGTGGATCATGGTATTTACATACCATATGTCAGCATGAGATTACAGAATGATTTATGCTTTTTGCCCAGACCTTTTGGTAAACTGCAACTGGCTTTGTAGTAAACTACAAGGCTGAAACACCCTTCCATCCTGACTCTGACAACTCAGCTCTCAGGAAAAGACCACCAGTGACTGGTACAATCACGCTTCATTCAAAGCAACAATTGACTCGTTCTTTTCTCAACACAACTGAGTGATCCATGCTGGTTTTCCTGTCAGAGCAACACAGAAGATGAACTAGGGAGGTGTGCTTCACTATTAACAAGCTAGTCCTAAGTTGCATGCAGGGACAAAAAGTGAATAGTCATCTCATGTTTTGGAAAAAAGAGCCAACTACCAACACTGAGGTACCCTAGTTCCTTCTGTAAGAACCAGACAATAATTGTCAACCAGAGAACAAGACAAGGAAAACCATCTGTACTTGGGCAATTGTTATCTAAGAATAGTTACTCAAACACACTATTGATAATTTCAGCAGTATTCATCAAAACAGCTAAAAAGTACCTGGATGCATGCACAAATAGATTAATCAGTGAAAAAAAATCTAGTGGAGTATAAGAAAATTGCTTTGATACTGTTGACTAGTGGTTCCAAAGTGGCAGGGAAGGACGCTGGGATTTAATACAGTGTTTTCTGTCTGAAGCTGAATAGAAGATATTTGAATGAAGGTATTTTAAAAATGTCATGTCAAATGAGCTGTTACACTCTGATCAACAAAAAGTGGTGTAAAATTTTAAGTCAATAATCCATCATCTGTGTGTACATAGGCATGCATGGCAGTCTATACCTTACCTTCAGTATGTAAAGCTGCCAAACACCAAAAGTAAGTGTGTTGATTACTGTACCACCAGGTTTTTTAAGGTTCACTGTTTCAGACACTACTAACAGTATGGGCAGGAGAAAAAACTCACCTGATTGCATTGTCTTTCCTTCCCAGCTATTTTGCCCTTTACTTTTTCTAAACCAGTCACACCTTTGATTATGTTTCAGTAAGAGAGCTGGCTGTGACAGCAAAAGGAACTATCATCTTTTATCAGAAAGCAGATTTCCAGGGTGATGGTAGACGAAAGCACCATGACATCAACATCACATCTGCCCCTTCATCTGAAGCTTTTGTCCATTAGCTGCATGTCAAAACCCAATTACATGTGGAACACAAATGGAAAGGCTAAGCAGCAGAAGTATCCCTCACTTTCCCTTACTTAGTTAGTAAAGGAGGCTCACTAATCTGTAGGGACATAAGTGCTATTAATGCTGCAGTACAGCACAAGCCTGGGAGATTGAGCCTCATAAATATTTCAGTGGCAGCAAGAACTGAGTGAGATCAAAATACCTTGTCTGTCATCAGCCTTGTCTGGTCTAACAGGTATCTGTGCCTCCTGTAAACATCCCATTAGCAGGAGGGGACACTTGGAGGAGAATCAATTTCAACTACTATCCTATGCTGCCATCCTCTCCCCTTACATGGCAGCAAATGAAGAGCCTTCAGAGAAAGAGCACAGAGAAAGAGCCCCAGAAATAGATGCTTGTCAAAGTATGAAGGTTTTTCTTTTTACCACAGCTTACTACTAGCCTGTGACAGACAACAAAAAGCTTTTTACCAATGAGTGGGGCAATTCCTTTGAGAATTAGTTCAATTCCTTTCTTGACTAATGAAATAGTGGGGAGGCAGAACACAGAATTTTATCTAGAGCTAAAAACTATGTATGTCTTCAAAGCCATCTACCTTTGCCCCTACTGGACACAGAGCTGAAAGTAAAGTATTAGGCTGCTGTTCTCTTCTTCCTTCTTGTGAGCATGAAGTTTGAAAAAAATCCCTGTAATTTACAGTATTTGTTCCCACCACACTCAGGTTGTGATAACATCCCATCTATTTCTCCACCTGTACAAGTGAAATAAGGGGGAGAAAAGGTAGCACTGGAGGAGGGGAAAATTTGGTAGGGTGTAACCATTCTTTGACACAAGGAAAGTGTGCACCAGTCTAAGAATTCAACCAGAAAAATTTAGGCAAAACTAGCATGCAGAGACAACATAAAATACTTTACAGATGCCAAGTTTAACCACCTGAAACTGAGAAATTCTTTGTTCCAGGTCATGGGAGTAAATACACACCAACAGATCCTAGACCACATATATCCTGGACAAGTATTGGTAGGAGAATGTTCTCAGCTTTCCATGCCTGCCCTTGAATGGAAGACTCAAAGAAAAATCTTCAGCTGAATTTAAAAGACTGCAAAAGAATAAAAATCAGTATTGCATCCAAGGCAATTTTGTTTTGTTTCTTTCAAAATACTGCACAAATACTTTGCATCATTTTCAACTACTGCTGTATTGCTCAGAATTCTGCTGCATCTGGGAATATGAATTCCTCCAGTGAAAAACAATGGTAGTTTGTACAGTGGGGTTACAACAGTGAAAAAAACTGAAACCTTGAAGGTCTCTGCTTGGCATAAGTGAAACACAGCTCCATGGATATGTTTTATTTATTCACTGACTGTAGCAGGAAACATGCCCTTGTTTATTTATTTACTCACTTCTTGAACCAGCTAGGCCCACAGTCTTTGGCTGGTAGCTTCACTGACAGCACAAATCACCTTGGTGCCTCCTACAGCTATAAGGGAACAAGAATACTTAGTAATTATTACCTATTGTTCACATTGCAACATCAATTCCCTTTATTGCCTAGAAAAGAGTAACTTTTTTTCCTTCTAAATAAACACTGGAATTTACATTTCACAGTTCTAGCCCTCCTTCTCTCCATCTGGGAACTAGGAAAACATTTTCAATTCAAGATGTCCTTGAGCTAGGAAGGGATGGTATGGCTCTCTCCTGGACTGCAAGACTGACAGCAAAACTAGAGCTTCATCTTCTCCAGGAAAAAAAAAATTAAAAGCAAGATTAACTTGCTTTTTAATGCTGATGAGAATGATCTTTACATGCAATGATGATACAAAGGTTTCTCACTGTATTTGCCAATTTTCCAGCATTTTGTGATATCCACCTCTTTCCTCACATAATGCAAGTAAAATAAGTAAAATACAGACCTCAGTAACTGCTCTGTCACATGCAAGAAATTCAACAGAAAATGCTCCTTAAAAATCATTAGTTTTATCCTTCAAACCTCCTGTCTCTCCTCTTACGACAAGCAATTTTATAGTGTGTCAATTTAGAATATAAAAATTGTGCTAACCACCTCAGCAGCAGCAGAGTCCAACAAATTATTCCATTTCAGGTAACATGTGGTAACTCAACACAAACAAAAAGGCCTCGTATCTTTTATTTTGCATTAGAATTTCCTTATATTCAGTCACATATTCTTAGATGCAGCCAAAATCTACTAAACTAAATCTAAAACTGCTGCCCCACCCTGATACAAACTTGGGTTTAGGAAACAAAGTAAGTTTTATTTGAAGTTAAAAAGAAGCACATGAAAACCACAGCACAGTGTGTAAAAACAGAGTCATTCTCAGTAATCTGCAAAGGGAAAATATATTACTGGGTTGTTGCAAAAAGAAATCAGATTCTTTGGAATAGATAATAATGGTTATAAATGTAAATACTTCTGGAACATTTCCACATTTCCCCATTTCCCATCCAAAATATGTCAGATGTCTTGAGGTGAACACTTGTTATTTACCCCACACCCAAAGCAAATACATGGAATACATTAAATGTTATTTCTACAGCATCTTCAACTTATAAATACAGAAGTATCTGCACTTTGGCAATCCTCCAGAGAAAGATCTTCAATTGACTCTGAAGAAAGGAATTTAAAAGGGCATCAAAATGTTAGACTTCTCACAAAATATAAATATAACCCCATATAATTAGGAGAAGAGTTTAAGATACACGCCTTGGAAGCGGAGAAGCACAGAGTTTAAAATGCCAGGAAAAGAAAGAGTAACATTATAAAACATTTAACTCAAAATCAGAACGGTTCTTTAATAATTGCAAATGAACTTTTTTACAATATCAGTTTTTTTTCTAACTTTCTGGGCACACTTCCTGGTAAACACTTGAGTATCCTCTGTGAGTTACAAAGAGCAAGTTTCCTGTGTTATACAGCTAAAAAACCTGGACATTCATAACAACTTGGCATCACATCTTCTTTTAAAAAAGAGATCACACAATAATTTAGACAGCATTTATAGCATTATAAAATCAGACTCCCCCTCTTTAATCACTCACAAGACCAGTCATTAAGAATACAACAGCTTTAGGAATACAAATAATGAGGATGTAAAACTATTTGTGCAAAACTGCATTATTTTTACTGTCTAAAATTTCAGGGAAGTAACACCGCCAAAAGCAGAGAGAGGATAACAAAGACAGTCATGAAAGCAATGCTACCTTAGACTTTCAAACAGGAATTACATTATGAAGTAAATAGTAGGTAAAGAAAAAAATCTGATGGCACCTTGAACAACAATGAGAAGTGTCCTGGTAATTGCAGTTGAACAGGAATTGATACAGGTTTGTATTAAGAGTCTCTTTCAGGAGTAGCAATTGATCTGGGGGTATCAACTCTAGCATTTCTTCCCATGCAAAAATCTATCTTTCCAACATCTTTGCTTTGCGGGCTACTAATGCATTTAAGAATGAGCAGTCTTTTGAGGAGTGTGCTTTCTTCCATGCATCTGAAATCTTTAAAACAGCTGGATCATTGATTCCCTGGATTTCCCTACTCCAATCCATTTAACTGCAGGAGAGAAAAAGCAAACTTCTGTTGTAAGTAATACAAAGCAAAAGTGTATCTTAAGATACAAACTCTATTCTTAAGCATCACATTTTGAAGAAAAACACAGCATATAGTATTCACACACTAAGAAATTATAACTTTGTCTGTTGTTCTCAAAGAATACACTGACAACTTCAAAAAGCAGGTATTCTTGAAACTGTCATAATAAATTAATCACTTTTACAGATTATAAGATAAATGATAGTTACAAACTATCAGATAAGTAAAAATTTGCATATCTCCTAACTCCCAGCTTTGGATGAAACCACAGGATCACCTTTATTAGGGAGCATGGAGAATTTATCAGTTCAGGAACATATATATACACTCTCATATATAATTGAATTCTCAATATATACTCTCATACATACTCATATATATTTATACATATATATATATACTTTCATATATAATTCATCATACTAATTAATAATCCATAGTGCCACTGACTTTATGATCATAGCAAAACTACACCCCAATTATAATCAGTCTAAAAGACACTTGAGCAAGTTATGAAAAAAAAAAACCTTAACTGAACAACAACTATAGTGTAACCCAGAGAAGGAATGTATATTAAAACTTCTGAAAATTGTGAGTTCAACAACTAAATAAAAAGTAGTAATACCATAATCACCAGTGGCACCAGGTAGATCACAATAAGCAGTTAGAACCTAGTTTTCAGTATTTTGAGTCTTCATTAATACAAAATACCAAACAGGTTTCATGGAGCAGGAATAACGCAGACAATAAGAAGAAAATCTGTTCTACTCACCAGGAACACCCAACTCTGTTTCTATAAAACGAACGTAGTTTTGTGCATTCACAGGCAGATCATCAAACGTCCTGGCATTTGATATGTCTGTAACCCATCCTGGGAGTGTCTTATACTGAACCTCTACTTTGTTTAAGACTTCGTGGCTGGCTGAGAAGCAAACAGAAACAAAAATTTTATGTCCATGGATATTCTCCACCATGAGACACTAATGAGGTGTTACCTCTTACACAAGGAGGTTTGCTCATAAGGTAATACAAGCACTGCAGCCACTAAAGTGTTGGGGGTTTTGTTAATATAAGCATAAGGGGAAAAAAGTCCAGTAAATATCAGGACTCAAGACTTTAAGGAATTCCAGTGCTCAGTCACATGCATATATTTTACTGAAACCACAATCTTTTCAGTTCAGAAAACAACTTTTCAGGGAAATAATTCCCCAAAATGTTCTTTTTTTTCCTGAACAAATACTGAGAACCAGATCCCTCTTCATAAGGGAATTGTGAAACCAGCTTGTAAGTATCAAGCAGCTAAAACATATTTTAAAATGGCATAGGAGTGTACCTTTTACTAAACACAGTCGTAAGATGTAGTTAAGAATTAACAGACCTCGGATACCCACAGACCCTTTGCCCCATACCTGCAATGAATTTATCAACCAGTGTGGAGTCCCACAGAACATTGTATGAACAGTAACTGCTCCCATTACTTCTCAGAAGAGAAGCAGTATTCTGTCCTTCATTTAGTAACTTGCTGCAATGTTGTCCTTTAACTATGAATCCTGTGATGATTTTTAGTTCTGAAAAACATGCTAAGCATACTGTTCTGGAACTGAATCACTCCAGTAATTATCTGAACATTAAGTCTTGGAATGACACAGGAGAGCAAAACAAAGGGCTTAAGTCTGAAAATGATCAAAATATATTGATTTAAAAATGGGAAGAGTCAGGCATTCCTTCTTGCCTTCTTGAGGATGAGGATATAGTAATTAATTTATGTAGGCTCTGTGTCTCAGTTCAAGTCACTCCTGCCAGGACAGCTAGTCAGCCTGGGGAAGGGCATGAGGTGCAAATCCAAAACCACACACTAATCCCCTCCAGCACGTGTGCAGCCAACAAACTCAAGCTCAGCACATTGAATGATTTGTCCTGATGCAGACAACAGTTCAACAGCAGCAGTGCTGTAAGGACAGCCTTAATGGACTAGGCATTTTGAGAAAGGCTGAAAGAAGACTGCTCTGCTGTCTTTAAAATCTATAATGGCAGAGAATTGTGCAAGGTTTTGGACACAGGTGTTCCCAGGTTAAAGGAATCCTGAACCAATACTCATGGCAATGAGAACAGACAGGCACATTAAGGATGTCCGGTAGCAGAAGCCAAGGATAAGCACTTCACTGTCAGAAGTAACAACTGAGGTGTTGCCTGCTGTGCAGGTATCTGTATAACAGAACAGAGGCACTCAAAGTGCACAACCACAAAGTGATCTCCAGGCAGTGCAGATAGTTCCTAGCCTCCCTCTTTCTGAAGAGGCAGAGTGAATGAACACCTCATCTTGGATGTCCACAGGTCTTTGAAGCCTCTTTGCTGAGGTCAGAGGGAGATAGCTGAAAGCATTTGGTATTGAACGGTCTAATATTGACTACAATCTTCCATTAGCCTGTATTCCTTACCTCCCCCTAAGAGAGAAGAAAAGCAGGAAATGCATCACTTGATGTTTCAAATCATACTTTAATTTTGTCCCAGCAGGTGTGATCAAGATGATGTGTGGTAAAGACAAGCCACAAACTGAGCTCAGTGTAGTACCAGATCTAGTCACCGTCTAGCTTTCTCTCAGCTTTTCACTGAGCTTTCCCCTCAGTGGGTTTTAGGGTTTCCAGAATATTCCTTAACTGCTTAACTATACAATAGACAGAGTAAATACAATGATATAATAATTTGAAGAGTGCTGTGTGATGCTACTTCCAACTCAGAAAAAAATATCTCGGATTTGGGACCTTAGAACCTTTGTAAGAGAAAGATCCTCCAGCAATTTCCAGAAACTGAACATGAAAACAGTCATGTAGATCAGACCAAAGGTATATCCAGAATAGCGTGCCAGCTCTTTAACCTACAGCAAATGGCCAGGGAAAAAGTGTAAGAGAAAAAAAAACAAACAAACAAACAAAAAACCAAGCATGAAAGTAAAGCTTGTCCAAAGTAATCTCCCAATTTTCCTAAGCATCTGTGTTTTCAAACCTCCTAAGCTAGAAGGACTTCCATAAACTCCTACCACTGGCCAGCAAAAGACTACAGCCTCAGTAACACCAACTGAAGGCAGCCATAAATTCACAAGACATTTTAGGTTCCTGCTTAAGAGACAATTATGAAATGCACACAGAAAGCTAAGCTAAAAAAACTCTGAGTGAGACTCATATGATTCTCTAATCCAGGTGGAAAAAGGAACAAAATATGAAACACGGCATGCTTTTCCTGAGATGGTGGGTACTGTGTGTGATTCGAATTTAGAGACAGTCATTTCACAAGAAGGGTAAACCATGAACATCTCCAAGACAGTGGGAGGGTAGGAAGGGGAGAGAGAAAGAAAAAGTCTGCCAGTGAGAGCTTCCCAGACTAGTTTTCTTCTAAATTAAATTTCAATGTCAGTGGCACGTTTGAAAAAAAAAGAATTATACAAGCACACAGCATGCAGAAATGCAGACATCAGAAACAGTCTAATGGTCTGCAAAACACAAAGTGGGAATAAAGTTACCTTTTGTTTTTTATGCCAGGGGCAGGGGTTAACTGCAGCATGTGTGCTGAAAATGCTGCCAAATGTTGAGGAGTATAGCAAGGAGAAGTGTGGAACATAGAGGCACTGTGAGAGACAGCATCTTCCCGCTTACCAGAAGCTCAGCTCAAACTCCTTCCTGACGCTTTAAGGAAGACAGCATGTCAACAGCTTCTACTAAAGTTCTACCAGCATTCTTAATTGTTCATACAGTAAAGAAAAATACAGGCAAGAGAGCCATATTGTGCTCCTATGACCAAAGGTCAGCTGTTACCTAGGGGTATACAGGGAACAAAGTCTGCTCCCTCAAGAGTTGTATCTAAAAAGATTCTGGCCCTGAGACATACAATGAATGAAAAAACCCCACAAATTACTGACATCTTAGTACTGTACAACATGGCCACCTGCTTATGTTACCTTTAAGGATGGACTGCCAGAAAAGATTTTCCTAGCTTGAGCACGACATCATACAACAGGCTACAGCAAAAGCGTTTACTGAGTAGTTCCCAATTCAAACATGCAATCTCCATTATGTTCAAAGGCCCTTTCAGGTAAACAGAAATGTCCCTAATGTTTTGATATGAGTACCAATCAGGCAATATCTGAGTCTTAAAAGGGGAAAAGCATTCCCTGGTTTAATGCAAGACATGTACTACATTTCCCGAATCAAAGTCATTCAGCATGCATTCAGACTGGCACTAGCACTTTTGTTTGAAGATTCTGGACAGCAAATCAGTTAGAAAACTCCCACAAGCACACAGAGAAACAAAAGAATTTGTTTAATTCCTAATGAATTACTCTTAACAGATATGTGCTCTTTTCAAGGACTAGTGGCACATCATCATTTATTCCTTTACACATAATTACATCTTTGTACTACATAAATCCTGCTGTGCCTTGTATCCAATTATTATAGTTGATCTCCTCACCCACAAGAAGTTCTCTGATGATGATGATATCACATGAAAAATTGTAACCTGTGACCAGCCTCTAACGCTCAAGTACCAATTAGAATGAAAACAGGCATATATGTGCACATTATGAAAATCAAAAAGCCCAATCTTTAGTACTGTTTTATGTTCTTCCTTTTTTTCTGCAGTATGCCTAACTATCACAAACTGAACATGACACATTATCTACAAAAACACTGGCTTGTGATATTTGAATATTTTAAAATGTAGGTACACTCTTCAAGTAAAAACAACCACTGGAACTACAGTTTCTATCATGCTACACTAATGTACATTGGTCATGCATTAAAAAATAGTCTTGCTTTCACCTAAACTAGTTGCCAGTTTCTTGCCCCACCCCCTGTCCCTCTTTTACACTGTGTAGCTTTTGTAGGTTTTTGGCTGTTCCATGAATCATTAAAGGGAAGTGAACTGTTAGAAATGTAACAGAAGGAAAGAAAAACTTGGCTTTTCAACGGAACTTTTCTCTTATGGGGGTCATTGCATGCTTAAATGAAGAGCTGGCCTGCTAATAATGGGCATCAATACACTAGTGGAACAAGGTAACAGTTTAGAGTATGAAACAAGCTTCCAATTTAGCTTGAAGGTGATGCAGGCTGTATAAAATAAAAAGGACAAGTAGTAACATATACAGCTGTTTGAATCTTTCTAGTAGACAAAATTCAGTATTTGGTACAGGTATCTTTTAGGGGCAGGTACTGGTATGGTAAAAGATATGTCTGGTGCATCTGGAAGACATTAATAGCTTGATGCTGAAGTAAGATACTGCTCTTGTAAGTTTTACAAGTAGAAGCCAAATGCATTCAAAAGTACCACATTACATTTCACCAAAATCTAAAATTTTTAAATAAGCAGTCTTACCAGGAAAATGAGGTATGCTTTCACCATCTAGTTTGTATGCAACACCAACTTTGATTTCTGGAAATACATCCAAGATGTCCAATTTGGTAAGTGCCAATCTATAAAGAAACATTACTCTGGTTAAACAAGTTCAAAAACCCTTGAATCTTATCACATTGTTAAAAAAAAATCAAACAAAATTGACTCCTGCAACTACTTTTATTTCTTTAAGAAAATATCTCATATGGGACTTATCTGTTAGCTGGTCTGACTTAAAAAAGCCACCCCAAACCAAAAACAAACAATCTCTGAAACAAGACAATGGCAACAAAAAAGGATAAACACAGTTTTTCTTCCATCCTTCAATCTAGTACTACATGAAGATGCCCAAAAAAATCAAAGAACAGGCCTTCTCCAATTGAATGAATTTGTCTATGGCTTTAAGGGTTATAATTTTAATTGGTGAGGATGCTGCCAAGATGCCAAACCATCTAAGGTATAGCCATTTAAGATGACCATTTCATTGCAAAATGCCTGTTGGTGTCTGTTCCTGTCCAACAGCAAAGACAAAAAATAATCTAACATTGTCTCTACAAATACCTGGCTACAACTTATTTAAAACACAACCCACAAAGAACAAGAAAAACAGAAGTATTTAAATAAAATATGTATTTACACTATTTGATCTGCTAGAAATTTTATACCAGTTTGTTTCAGGCACCCATCTTTCATTTTGATTAACATCCCAAAGACATACCTGTATTTTTAATACTTACACATACTACTAGAGATACTGATGGTTTCCCATCTATGTTATTTTGAAGACAAACTAACAAAAGAAATCTCCATAAAGAAAGGAGAGAAAAATCTACATCTATGAAAATATCAAATGTAAAAATACTTCATGATAGGAAAAACAAGGAACAGCTAATTTATCAAAATATCAAAACAATCAACAGATCAATATTAACAGTGCAAATGTTACTAACTGGTATATGCACAATTTACAGTAATCTACAGCATTTCATGATTTTCTGTCAAACTGCCAGCAAAGCTCAGCAAACAACTCACGCAGTAAATCCATTAATCATATAGACATATCGGAGTGAGACAAGGTCCAGCCAGCCACATCTTCTCTTCCTACCAGTGGTAACACCAAACTCTTTACCTCTCTGTTGCAGCAATTCTCCAATTTCCTAACAAAGAGTAAGATGCATCAGCATGTGGGTTTCTTTGATTTGCAACACATGATGCAGGTCTTTACTTAACATTTTACAATACACAAATTACAATTTACATTGTAAATTACCTTTAAAGTCCTTCCCCCAGTTTTTCACAATGCTGTCCACTTGGATGAAGACAGCAATACAAAATGTTCTTTCTAATTCAAGAGAACAATTTTTAGGCAAACTTTGCAAAATTTGCTCCTGCTCTAACCTTCTATTCCACAGCAATATCTAAGAAAGTTGCAATCATGTTTGGCAGTCCTGTAAGCTCAGTCTAGAATCAGAAAATTGAGACATGCAAACACATTGTCACTTACGTACTGGCACTTAAACCATTGCTAACACTGACTTAATAAAATTCAGGCAAGACACACCAAGATATTTCACACAGCAGGTCACACCTGAGGCTGCAATACTCACATTATCCTGTTCTGTAGGAAAGGCACCAATTCCAACCCTGGTTGTGTAGGCTTTCACCACCCCGTACACTTCCCCGACGTTCTGCGGCGGCATGCCCAGTCCTGTGCACACACCTCCAACTGTGCAGTTTGATGAAGTCACAAAAGGATATGTGCCTATTAAAAACCAAAACATTTGGTTTAGGAAATTATTAAAACACTGGGTTTAAGCCGTTTTTTCAAAAAAGTCTAACCTGGTGAGAGACAGTACTTGCACTGCACTTACCCTAGATTTTACAACACTCAAAATCAAAACACACAACAAATGTATTTTACAGTCAAGAACACATTAAGTAAGCGCTTCGTTTTGTATGTACATTGTCTGATCCACCTTCATTTGAAAAGGTAGAAATCTTACTACTTCAACTGGTAAAAATGTACTACATTACAATTCTGAATGATGGCACAGGTAAAAAACTGGAGTAAGACACCAGAAAAACACGCCTTGCTTTCTTACACTAAATAAACAAGGCAAAAGTTTGAAGGGAGCTCTTAAGAAAAAGTATTAAAAAGTTAGAGAATGGAGATTTACTATTTTTAATTTTTGGAGGAAAAATAAAATACAAACTCTACAAACCAATCAGCACATTATAAGGATAAGAAATTGCAATGAAATGCAGAGTTCTGGAAAGAACAACTTTGTTTGCATAATCAAATGAAAAATTATCATTAAAAAAAGAAGACGACTGGAATACAGTCTAGTAGTACAGGTCTGTCTCTAGTTAGATATTCAGCTGTCATTGGACTGCAAAGAAAAGACTTGACTATCTCAAAGTCCTTAGGTTTCTACCTTTTTTTATTAAGTAGTGGCAAATGAAACTGACCATGCCAGTCCCCAGCTGAATTGTGAACAAATACTTCAGCCTCACTATAACTGCACATAAGCAAGATACTTCTGCCTGTTGTGTCAGACTTTTTTGTATGTCTTTTGATATGAATCAGATAGGTAAGAGAGGAACAACCAAGACAAAAGGAACTAAAAGCAATACAGTTCTTTCAGCAATATAGACATCTGTACAAAGTCAAAAATCCTTCAGAGACTGATCAGTGAGATTTCACAGATTAGCTTCAGGTATCTCAAATCACTCCAGAGACAGACCCAGGCTTACAGGTGATACGTAACAGCAGTTTGCAAGCATTAATCAGTTTTTAATCTTAGAACACAGTAATAAAACTTTTCTTAGTACTGACAGGTGAATATAGCCAGTGGATGTCAAAACCAGAGTCAATAAACAGTTGTTACTCGCTTTCACCTCCCAGTCTGATATATTTACATTGCTTTGCCATTACTCTGTGCTTAAAAATACAGAAGACCACACATCCCCAAACCTGCCCCCCCATTCCCAGACAAATGCATACATAAGCTTCATTACAGGCCGCAGGAAAGTGGGATGGACTGCAAGCCTGGGGATTTACTACCCTCACAGCCAACAGACACACATTCACAAAACTCACTTTAATATTAAGATTTCTATGCAACAAAGCACAGACAACAGCCTCATTCAGAATGATTAATAATCAAACTGGCAGTGCCAAACCTTTTGACTAGGGCCTGTCTATTGTTAACACAAGTGCTCAATCCACTGATGGTATCTACCTATGGAGAGCAGATTTTCTCATGTGTTTGGGTCTCACAGCAGAGGCAGGAAAAAATCAAACTAATCTGAACAACTCAGTATGTATTATAGATATACCTGATGTGTTTCAGACTGCCTGCACCTTCTATTTACATGAAATCCAAAATACTCACCATTTACAAGAAAACAACCCCCTTCACAGACTTTTTTGCAAGTATCTCAGTTTTACATCAAAGATTTCCCTGTGACAAGTATATCTGAAGACTTCTTTCCTCTTTTTTTGTCTTGTAAAAAAGCATGTGTCTTCCAATATTCAATTATGAGAGTTTGGTGCTTGTACTTACAGAGACTAACCTAAGACACATCTTGCTCTTAAAATAAGAGGCTTTCAGACTAAGTATGTTTGAAAATGCCCAATACCACAACTCATACTGGTTGAAAGCTGAGTGCATGCCAGTTTCATAATTGTTTTACAGCAGTCCTTATAGGCTTCCATTTCAGGTGTTAGCATCTTCCTAACAATAAAAATGATGCTGTTACAAGGCCAGCAAGACTGAAGAAAAATGTGACAAAATGCAGGAGCCAATCACACAGGCTCACAGAGTGGCAGATTATCTGTCGTTACAACGTAATAACCAAACAATCCTCCCATTAAAAAAAGCTGCTTCTACTACCTAGAATCTTCTAATTTATTAGCAAACTTATAGTGTTTTAAGAAAAACTGCATAATTTTTAATATCAAATAGATTGGGGTAATCTTTTCAGTCTTTCCTCATTAGCAATCCAGATTACCAACACTTTTCCCAACAATGTGAAACAATGGAAAACTGAGTGTTATCTAAAGACCCTCTTGAAAAAGCAAGCTCATTTTTCAAAAGTCAAGAAGTATTTTGCATATATGCTTTGCCTCTCAAAGCTCTCCATTTTTATTCTCAAGTGATTTCCACAGATGTAAAAAACAGTGAGTGATTTCATTTACAACTTAGAGATGCTGAAGCAATAGCTACACTTTAAGAGGAGCTACTTGATCTTTAATGCCATTCAAATTATTACTCTTGGGAGAATCTACAGCTTTTTGAAATCATTTAATTAACAACCCACTCATCCACCCCTGTATTATTTCCTAGTCATAGACAGTGCTGTTCTTCCAAAACAAAAACAACTTCTGCCATGAGAACAGCTTATCACAGGAGAGTTTATATTTAATGTTCTTTTTTTACAATGCAAGTGTATATCAACATGTGTCTCAAAAAGACCATACCTACCAAAATCTATGTCCAGCAGTGCTGCATTTGCACCTTCAACTAAGATCTTCTTTGGTGGTCCATGTAAAGCCTCATACATGAAATAAACACCATCCCTTACCATTGGTTTTACTTTTTCCATGTAGCCCTGAATAACACAAAAGACTATTGTATAGTATAATTTCATTATGATAAAGGCAGCCAGAGTAGAATTGCTATTGTTCCCTCATAAAAATGCTCATATTCCTTTTGAAGAAGAAAAGCAAACAAAGAAATGTTAAATATGCCACAATGTGAACAAAGGGAGGAAGAATGTGAAATTCAGATTTACACAACAGATATGTACACTCTCCCTAAGAGGAAAGAAAAAAGGGGGAAGGATGAAGAGGAAAGAAAAATCCAAACTTCTGAAAGCTTTAGAAACACTCAAAGCATGAGTATTATCACTGTATTGTATTCAGTCTTTCATTTCCAAGTGTTCGAAATGTCTCCCCCAAAACCTGCATGTAGGGAGCTCAGCTTCTGGCCATCTGCAGCTAACAAATGCACACAACTGTGAGCTATAATTTTTAAGTAAAAGTGAAGTTTTTTATTGGAATTCAGCATCAAATGCCTGAATGCCACTGAGTAGCTGGATGCAAGAAGCCAATAATGTTCAGATTATCACTTGGTACACAGCCTTTCTCCATGAGAACACATGGAAGTTCTCAATTTAACAATTTACTCCATGTGAAATGTAACACTTTGCCTTTCAGAGTGGAATCAAGTGCATCAGCATAAGACAAGTAATTTTCTTCAAGCTACAAATATGTGTGGTGTTTCCACCTTAACAAGGAGTTTCAGATAGTCCATAACCCTGAATTGCTTTAAGTAAACTATAAAGCATTATGAAGTAATCAACTGTAACTGGTTTCTAGAACTACAAACTAATAAAAATACAACAACATATGTACAACTGGCTTTACTTAAAGTAAAACAAACAGTTTGCAAGAACAAAAGTGCAAGAACTCCCATATAATCTACTATAGAGCTGTAAAAATTAAAGGTAGAGAAAGGATGATTTCTTTGGCCTGATTTTCTTAAAGAATTATCATGTAATTGTGTGTGCCCTCCCTGTTCCCCACACACCTCAGTGGTTTTAAACAGTGTCAATATTTGGTTGACATTTTAAGCGTTAAAAAAAAATCTCAGACAGGTTTCTACAAGAAGCATGAATAAAAAGGTTGGGTAGAACAGTAAGACACCTCACAAGATTTTCACATAACTTGGATGCTGTGCAAATAAAACCTAATGCCAGAGAGGAAACTCTCAACTGTCCCAACCTCAGGGAAAAGATCAAATCAGAATTCATTATTAACCATAAGACTAGTTCGCTGGCAATCAGGCTTCATTAGCTCTGCTGCTATCAATTTCCATTTTTCTGTGTTGCTAGACAGTATTTTTTTTACAAGTTATTACTTAGAAAAACTATTTACTTCAATTCTTAACTTTCTGAGACGAGGGCTTAACATTCTGCTTTACAATAAAACTTACTTCCCCCAACTACAATCCTGGTTTTATTCCTAGACTGTATGCTTGAGTACAAGTAAGTCAAGAAGAAATCACCCCATACAACCCTTTTTCTTAAAATTCAAGTATCTCTCTTGAAAGTAAGTTTTGAAACATAAAACAGGGCCAAGAGTGTCCTCAAGGATAGCAGCAGACTCTGCAGCACTGATACACATGATTTCCCATGACACAGTCTAACTCCTCACACAAGCACAAGCATCAGTCACACCAAGGGATACACATATCAGTAACTGCACACAGTGATTAGATAACCAGAAAGACAGAAGCAGGCTTACCTTCAGCTTTTCCAATTCCCCTTCAATATCTATTTTTAAGGTAGGATATATTGCTTTGTACTGATTGGCTAACACTTTGAACCTGAAAGGCAAAAATGCTTGACTGAGATTTCTGTTTGTTTTCTTCCCACCAACCCTTGATTTTTACTGGTTACGTACCTGCAGTTATTTGGTAATTTAACCATTTCAAACAATTAATTATTATAATAATCATGATTGTATAATTTAATAAAATTATACATAACTTTTTATTTTAAAATAACTTTTAACTAAGAAAATTAACAGGAACCAGACATAATTGCTTACACAGGGTACTATCCAGAAACTGAAAACTATGCTTACAACTGTGTACAGTAATTACCTCTCAGAAAAGTCATCAAAATCAGAAACAAGATCGCACATTCTGAGTCCACTTCGAGCTGCCTTTGAAGAATATACTGGACCAATTCCTTTTTTGGTAGTTCCCAGACTTTGAAAAGATAATAATAAAGAGTTATTGATATAAAGGTGTTTTTTCTCTAAAGCTATTCCATCCTTAGCATAAAATGAAATGCCATTAATTGTGAGCATGTAACCTTGCTTCAAGCATTTAAAACAAAAGATATTTTTAGGATGCAATCTAGTGTCAGAATATCACTGCTGAAACAAGCAAATATGTTCATCTTCTACATACTTCTGTTTTTAAACCGATAATTTTTTGTACTTTAGTGAATGCTTACATATTTATTTGTACACAATTCTAAAATTTATACTTAAGGAACCAAATGTCAAGAAAACATCCTTCAGTATTATGAACTGAAACTGACTATCTTCCTAAAACATTGTCCTGAAAACCTAAAGAAAGTCCTCCCTAAAGCAACAGCACAAAGAGTACGGATTTTATGTTTGTGTATAAGAAATATTTCATTTCATTCTAAATACCTCAGCTGGAGCCAGGAAAACAGAAGACACTGCCAAACATCCAAAAGTGACAAAGACACTCAAAATTCTCTCTATGTTGAGTTCAGATATGGGTTTTCCACTGTAGCTGATTCTGAAAAACTGAATTCTTTTTCTTACCCTTACCTGCCCACTCTCCCTGAAAAGCCTTTTCCAGCTTAAGTCCTGATGATATAATATAAAACTTGCTTGCACTGACTTTACTGTGAGAGAAGTACAGCTACTTCAGTTATGTTAAGTAGCTATCAAAATGGAGCCAAACTGTACTCATCACAAGCAGATTAGCAAAGACCTTCCCCATCATGCTCAATACATCAAGCAACTTTAAGGAGAAGTGAACAGGTCTGCAAAATTTTCAGAAGTGTACTACATGTTGTTAAGCTTAATCGTGCACTTAGTTTTAAAGGGTTTGGGCTCTTATCCCCCTCGATCAGACACAGACTCTTCTTCAGTTATAAATTCTGCATATGCAGAGTGCCCCATAGTTCTTCAAATTGCCTTGAAGGCACCATACCATAACTCAGTTCCAGAGGGCCTCCAGGTAAAGTAGGAGGCACAGGTCATATCAAAACTTTGTGTTATTGAGTATCACTTGATATGTGAGTGAACAGAAATACAGTTCATACTAAGTATATAACTCTGTAGCAGTTTGGATTAGATTCAAAAATGCCTTGGAACAAAACTTGAATTCTTCCAATTAGACTCAATACCAAGTAATCTCAGGGAGTGATGTTTACCTCCAGTCCAGGGAAAAAAAAAAAACATTCTAATGAACTTTGCACCACACTGTATCCTTTAACCAGACCAGGACACTGTGGCTTAAACAACTGACTCTAGCCTCCAGCATCCACCTCAATTCACACACTTCACAGAGAAGGGTTGGTTTCCATTTATTTTGTTTCATTAAGACATACCAATTAATAAAAAAATTGTCAGAAGACTGTACTTATGGAAGCTGAAACAACTGTATAAGCAGAATCCACTGTATTAGATTTTTAGACTAGATTGTATTAGGCTTTTCTATAACCTTTCTGCAAGGGAAGCTACATGATGAGCCTTACTGGTGAAGGTTTCTGAGCTACATTTGACCAGGCAAAAGCATTCAATTAACAGAAAAAATAAACTTACCATTTAGAATGGTAATTTTAATGGTAATAATTCAAAGTCTTAGGCACAAAAGAATTTAAACACCAACCATGGCATGTAGTCAATCTGCAGTAAGACATGCTAGCAGACTATTTCAATTCCTTGCCTCCAACAAACAAGAAACCATCTTTTGATAATCCATGATAGCCTGTTCTTAGCCAGCCTGTAGTACTACTCTCCCCATTTTAGTTATTTAGCCTTAAAATTTAGGAGGAAATAGGGTAATTTTAACAAGCTTGAAAACTGTATGTTGTAGATCAAGAACTCCACAGAAAGAAGAAATTCAGCATTTTCAAGAATGACTTTAGTTATTTTGCTTTGAACATAAATATTTTCCTGAGTTTTTTAAAAGCAAATTATTTGGGTTTTCCCTAACAATCTTTTACAATAACCAAAAGAGTGGTGCCTTCTCTCAAGTAACTGATTTGAATGACAGTGTTTTTAACTGTAAATATTGTCATATAGCAATTTTAGCTTGTGCTCCATAAATATTGAAGAACAGCTGATACACAGTGATAATAGCTAATAATGGCTCATTAAAATAAGAATATTCTTCCATATTTATCTATATGTTCTGTTTGCTTTTTAAATCCTAAACCAGCAGGTAACAAGAGAGCTGGTACAGCTCAGACAAGTGTGAAAATGACTCCTTGTAAAAATCACTGACAAATTATCCCTCTATGGCAACCTCTGTGAAGATACACCCAAATCAGACACTCTCTTCAAGCTTATTATCATGGATCAAACATTTTTCAGATGAGTATGTCTCAATTACTTTTCATCCATGTAATCTCTCTTTTTGGAAGGTCTTCTAAGTTCACTGTTATCTCAGAAGCCCATAGCACTACAGTGCTTCCCAGCTTTAGACAGGTCACTGTTAATTCTGCCAGCTTTTTCCCCAGCCCCAAGAACTAGTGAGCTACTAGGAAAGCACAAGTTAAAAATAGCAAGATAGTTTCTAAAAGTTTTGAAAGCTTCAGAAAGTGAGTAGCATTCTGTAGAAGACAATGTGAACATCTACATGCACCTGTGACTTTCAGTTATTTGGAGATGCCAAAGGGGTTCTTCAATATTCATAAAGAGAAATATACAGAAAAAAATACCTCCAGTAAACAAAACACTGGAAGCAGAAACTAGCAAATTAACAACTAGAAACCTTTTCATAAGGCAGACTATAAAGACAGAGGCCTTTAATTAAGCATATAATCTTTCACTGGAAGATAAAAGTGTAAGAAATAATCCCCGCATAGTCCACATTCAAGAGTCACATGGATATTTTTTTTTTAACCCACTGACCAAGTAAAACAGAGATTCAATGAATTAAGTCCTGTTTGTACAAAGTCATCCATGTTTGACAAAATAAAACTACCTACTTCTTTCCTGCTTGTTCTTGCCTCTGTTGTTCTTGGATGCCATCAGCAGCTTGGTGAAAATCAAACACTAAGAAAATAAAATAACTTAAGTTGAAAATTTGTGTGAAACAAATTATAACAGCAATGATTTCTTCAGACCAACTCTGTTTACCAATGTGGAAAATAAATATACACCCTGAAGAAAGGCAAATAAAACTAGAGGAATTTTTTCTTCCCTTTTGCATTTTTCACAGGGAAGAGTTCTAAGTTTTTTCAGAGACTTTTTAAAAAGTGTTTATTTTGTAGAATATTTGCAAAGTGAGTATGCATGTCCCACAGAATAACTAAGCCATTTTGGCTTTGTAGTGGCCCCAAAGAATGTATGGATAAACAAAGAAAAAATGTAGTTTAAAAAAAATCCTGGAAATAGGATACAGTAAAAAGGTCATACTGCTAAAATTCAGGTGAGACCTGAAAGTTAACATTCTCACCTATTTTACAGATTTCTTAAACAATTTTAGGCAACATCAATTAAAACACATTTGAAAATGAAAAGCCCCTACCAATGTCTGCTATGTCAACAGAAGTCAACTTCATAAGGCCCGATTGTTTTTAAGCATTATATTGTTATTAATTATAAAGATTATGCAGAATATCCCTTGTATCAATACTCTGTCTACCATAAAAGAAACAAAAAACCAAAACAGAACAACAAAACTCAAAAGACATGCAAACGTCCACGCCCCCACTCCCCCACATCCCAAAAATCTTGTGAGACTCATGTCAAATACAAAGATTGGTGGGCTGGTGCACAGCTTATAGGCTAGCAGAATTAATTCAAGTGGTTTTCTTAAGCACTATTCCCTGAAAGTTAAAAACTATCTACACTGCACAGGAAAGAGCCATGTAATAAGTATGTTAGTCTCTCCAGAACAAAGAGTGGTTTTCCTGTTTGCCTTACCAATTTGGCTTTGTGTTTATTTCCAGGCATTCCCACATTTTAAAGAATTACATCATGCCCAGCAGTGTGAACCTACCTTTAGCTGATCTGTTGTTAGAGACTATTCATAGATCAATACCCATTTTAGAGAAGACATTTTTATCATGGTAACAGACTTGCAAATTGTCATCAAAGCTTTCTAAATAGAGGCATTATGAAAGCTCATTTCTGTGAGGAGGTTGAATGATTATGAGTGACAGCAACTGGTTCTTTTTACTCACAATCTGTTTAATTATGAAAAATTCACAGCACTGCCATTGCAATATAATCACCACAGAACAGTTTTTCTAGTAATTGAGCAATTTCCAAATAATTCACCTAGAGAATTATCAGAAAAGATACTGGTAACTTAAAAACAATTACTCAACTATTTCAATCTCATTAGTTACTCCAAACTAAAAACATATTTACTCTGAAATAAATGTCAATAAGTTCACTCACTAAGCTATTCCAGATTGGTGTAAAAAACAAGCAAAACCAAAGAAAGTGAAACCAAAAGCAAAACTCTTTTCCCCCTGTGTTACAGGCTTTTATTTTATCAAGTCCTAAACAGTTTGCATCTTCAGAAAATTACACCAGAGGCAGCAATAATGTTATAAAATCTAAAGAGCTAATCTAAAGGATGAATTTATGCCATAAAGATGCAGTAGGAGTGGTACAGGAAGAGTTTCTGAAGCTCTGTGTTGGTGGATTGGACTCAATACTATTTCACTTCAGGCTTTGAACTGCAGTGCTGTCTCAAGCATAGCCTGGATTCAGTGCAGAATGATGAGCTCCTCTCAAGGAGGGCAGCCATTCTCTTCATCCCTAGAGAGTCCTTCCCACAAAAGCTCCTCTAGGAAGCAAGTGGCAAGGAGAGGGGTAGGGAGATCATGAGCTTCAAGTCGCACCAGGTCACCTCTTTTCCCAGCAGAACCGTTACTGTGAGCAGCATCACTTTTACACCAAAAGGGGAACAAATCCTGAGTCAAATCACTCTCAATGCTTTCTGACTGCTCTGTGCTTTTCATCTGACTTGGAAAGTGAACCTCTTTCCTGCCTAGGTGATGCTTATGGAATAGGATTAAAAATAAAAAAATCACTAGAACATAAACCTGGGAGGATTCTGAGTGAATTTTTTTTCTAGGACCTTCAATAAATCAAAGCAACCCAGGGAGACCTAATCCAAAGAAAAGTACCTATATAAGGAGATGGCTAAAAATTATCACACTTTTACTGCCACAAAAAGTCCATAAAAAGCAAAAATGCACAAAAACCAAACAAAAAACCAAACAAAAAAGCTCCACTAAAAAACAAACCACAAACAGGAACTTACCAATATGAGCCCTGTCAGAAATTATTAGTCTCTTTTCCCAGCCTTCTAGTCCTTTAAAGGCAAAATGAAATAGTTTAAATTATGTTTTGTATAGCATTTTTGTCTTCTGATGTATAAAGTATAAATACTTTTCATGCTTAGTCCTCAGTCAATCTATTTTAAGACTGAGCAATCACATTACAGAGAAAAAAAAAGTAATTTCAGTAATTAAAACTTGGCACCAACCTATAAAGCTGAGAAAATCAGAGTTATTCTGAAGAAGAATTCAAGCTACTAGCTCTTCAACTTTAGCAAACAATTACTAGCTCTTTTGGTTCTGAATAATCTAGACCATTGTTTTTTCCCATTTCTAGGAGCCTGCTGCCAAGCATAGCTATAGACATAACATGAAGTATCCAAAAACTGAGTTCTGAATCAAGAAGTGATTACCAGAGCATCTCTTTACATTAACATGGTCACAGCATACACCAATATTCTAAGAAGTAAAATTACTCTGAACAGGTTAACACACTTAAAAAGCCATTTCACTTCTTAAATTCACTTTTTTAAGCAAAGAAAAATGTCTGCAGACAATTCTGATTTAGATTATATTCTGAAACTGTACAGAGATTCCTTTTATCTGCCTTCCCATGAGGGCTCTGGCACTTACAGCAAGACTACTGTCAGAAAGCAACAGCTAAAAGGAGTTGTGGAAAAATGCACTGTATGTAACCTCTACAGAGGTATCCTCCATCTAAATAATTTGAGTAGTGTGCCACAAACTATTTTAAAAGTACTATCTTCAAATTCTCACCTTTTCCTTTCTTTAAGTTTTTTTCAGCTTCTTCAAAGAGTCCTGGCAAATGAATTACAACACCATTTCCTGAAGAAAATCATTATATAAAATTTAATTAATTATGTTGAGCAAGGGAAAAAACATTTCAAACAGTTCAAAGACACTTCATATATTGTGTGCAAAGTATTTTAAGTTCTTTAACATACTGAAATTTTGATTCTTAGGAATTTGTCTAAGCCAGATTTGCTCCTAAAGCATGCCTTTCTACCTACATGCATTGAATCTTCCTAATAAATGCAACAAACTTTCAATTTAGACCAGTACAAACAGGAACAGAATTGTAGAACAGTCTGAAAACCAACTTCCTCTTTCTCATATCTAAAATTAACTTAATAAACTTAAACTTATTGCTTTCTAAAAGCCTGGTACATTATAAACACTAGTATCCTTGCAGGCACTTTTTTGGTGTAAACAGACACGAAATATTTTGTACATAGAGGTGGGACTGTTAAGAGACCAGCAAAAACAACAGAAGAAAAAGCCGTATCAAAAGCAAGCTCACCTTCCTACAGCTGTTACACTGCTCAGAAAAAGACTGCTAGTTCATACAATTAACCAGCATCACTGAGTGCCTAGGAAGGAGCATTCTCACAGCAAAACTGAACCATCTTAAGGCCATACCAAACTCAGTACATTCAAAGCCACCAGTAGAACATCTAGCTGAAGAAGGAATCTGCCATCCAAAACTATTTGCATATCACCTAATTTCACACAGATAAAAGCATTCTACACGAAGTATTTTAAGATTTTTTCACTATTACCTTCATGATGTAGTCCTAAACAATATGAATACTCTAATATTCAATCACTTTGCCCTTATCCTTTCTTAAAAGAATCTAGAAAAAGCTTCAGAACAGGCAAGACCAAAAGACAGAAGATAGAGGCAAGAGGATTTGTAAAAAGTTCTGTCCCAGCGACTGTATTGTTAAAGGATGGGGGCCTTCCTATTCAACCAAGTCTGCCCCAGAACACAAGGCAAATGGGCATCCTTTTTTTTACTGTTTTCAAGTGATAACCTCAAGAAACAGAGTACAGTAACATCAAAAGAGAACAGAAGTAGTATCATCTGCCTCAGCCCTCAAAACTAGGAACAGTTAACATCTCAAACTTCCCATCATCAACAGGAATCTCTTTCCATGCCCACTGGCTCCATTTCTGTAGAAGTATTAGGCAGGACAAGTTGATCCATGAGTATCCCATTATCAAGTCACAATGTAACAGTTGAAAAGGGGCAATTAACCACCAAATCCCATCAAGTACAGATTTACTGCTGACAGAGTATACAGTCACTACCAGCTGGACTGTTTATGAATCAAGTAACTCGTGACAGAGGCTCTTCAGCTGCTCTTTAGCAAACTGTCAGTGACCACTTGCTTTTGGCATAGATACCAAATTGAAAGGCAAGACTGCAAAGCAATGAGATGCAGGAAGAAGTGACAGGAAACAGAATCCTGACCTGGAGAAGTACATTGTGTAAGGGACAGGAGCTCTGGGTATCAAAGGAGCAACATGGAAGTGTTGCTAAGTCATTGCCTTTAGTGACCAGAGACCCAACTTGTTTGGTGAAACAGCACTCAAGCACAAACATAGTTATAATGGTGTGTACATATGTTTTATGTTTACCTTCATTTTTAGAAGGAAATTCTATGGGCTACACCATATTATTAAGTAGGTGGGCCATCCAAGCAATGCAAAGAAAAAAACACCAATCATGTAGGATTGGAAACAGGATCCCAAGGGAGAGTGGTACAGGGGTAAAAGTAGTTTTTTTAGGGACAACAGACTAGATAGCCTAAACCCCTCTTTATAAAGCAAACAGATCACAGATCCTGGTATCACCTAGTACAGCCACTGCCCTAAACCTTCCCATGTACTCTCCTAAGAGGACTTCTTGGAAAGAACTCAAGAGTGTGGAAGTCTTTTGGAGTTAAGCATTCATTTCACAATCCAATGGAAAAGGAAGGGAAGAATTATGGTTCAAAAAGTAATGGTAAGTACTTAACAGGGCTAAAGATCAAATAAGAGTGGGGTATTCTGAGAATAAGATATATAAATGGTAGAGAAAATAAAAGAGAATGGGAAAATGAAGACACACTGGGCAGCTAGCTGCTAACATTGGTAGGATAGATAAGAGCAAAGGTGAACTATCCAAGACAAAAAAAAAATTCTGCAATCCCAACTTCACAAATGAGTAAGGGCAGTATCGGGAAGACAGTCAACAATCTAGGCCTATGAAAAACTGAAGAAAAAGACTCCTGATACTGTATGTTCTCAGATATATTTTGTTATTTTAATGTGTCACAAGTCTGTAACTACAATCCTGTCTGTTTTTTAGATGTCCCACTTACCAATGAAGGCAGTGACTTTTGGATTGATGATCCCACTTGGCAGAAGATGAAAGTCATATTCCACAGCATCCACAACAACTGTATGCCCTGCATTGTTGCCTCCCTGAGTGGGGGGAGAGGGAGAAAAAAAGTGTTAACAGTTTTTGACACTAAAGACAAATGAACACACAGTATAGAGATCAAGTAAATTGGTTACACAGTTTTCATTTCTGTTACTGACAAAAGAGCATTCAGAGACTTCCCAGGAAATCAGCCAAACTTGTTCTGTCAAACTGGACAATTTCAACATCAGTATTTTCTGCCATATAGACTTTGGACAGTGTTTTGGTTCATCAAAGGTACAAAATTGTGGAATGAGATTAAAATATTTCTAAAATCATCATATATAAATATTCTAGAACATGCATACATTTCTAAAAGCCATCATCAATTTTATTAGTTTTCTGGTACAGTAATGGAAAGTAAAGTATTAAGAGTGGAATTGCAACCTTAGCAAAGTAAAAAAAAAACCAAATCCCCAGTTAAACTGGGAGTATAAAACCATACAGCTATTGGGATAGGTAAGTGTCATCATCTGGCAACACACAGGCTTGCTGTTCTGAATTTTGGGTTCAGACCTTTGAGTGCTTTTCTATGAATAGTAACCAGTGAAACTACCTAGTTCATTCTATTCCTTCCTGATAAGAGAAGTTATGTAAGAGTACAAGTCATTTATGTTAAATGCATGTTATGTTAAACACGCTTTTAAGGGGTGAATCTAAAAACAAGTGAAACAACTGCGTTTTCCTAAGTTACCAGAAACCATTTACATCAAACTAACACTTTAAATGTTTCTAGCACTTTTCATTACAACAAAGAGAGCATTAAGAGATTCATTAAACTCTGAAATCCATCTAAAATACTAAAAGAAGCTTGTGACCAAGTCTTAAAGACGGTCAAGAAAGGCTTATGAAACTAAAAAGATTACAAAACAGTTACCAAATATCCCCAGTTCTTGTTTGCTGTACTTTTGAAAATAAGCTTTTACTCTCTGTGACCCAGTCATTTGTGCAAGACAAGGTTACATACAAAACGGTCCTGTTTGTCATAACCACAGGAACATCCTTTAAAGGCTCCTCACACCCGAAGTTAAACAAACTGCTTCACAGAAAGAAAACCTTAAACAAAGACTTTTATGCTGACACACCTTTCAGCACAAGACAAACTGAAGAAAGGCATTATATGAAAATAAACTATAAACATTATTAATCCATGGAATTACAAATCTGAAATATTTCAGAATATTGTATCACAAATGGACTTTTCTAAGCAATGGACTCATGAATCCAATACATAAAGCTGTATCTGACAACACAAATAAAGAGTAGTTGTAGATATCAAACATTTGTGCCAGTACACAGACACACATGCCACAGGTACAAGCCTAATCTCATTGAAGTCAGCAATGAAAATTTTGTAATTTTAGCATTATTTATTTGAGGACTTGTGACCACTTCACCTCCTCTGAAAAGAGAGATAACTTAAAAACCTTCACCCAACAAAGGAAATAGCTGAGTTCAATAAAAGTTTAAATTTTTAAATAACATACTGCAGAATTTTTCCATGAACTGAACATTACCTTGAAGTAGTTGTAAAAGATTTTTGGATGCAGATTTTCTTTGCAAGTGATCTGACTCACTCAGACAATGCTAAATTTTCAATTCACAACAAATGAAACATATTGAACCGAGACATAAAGCAGGTTTTTCAAATTTACTCTTTTAAAAAAGTAATAAATGCTCAGGAATAAACTTCCTGTTTGCATTCTTTCTACTCAACAGCTTTAAGGAAGGTTATTTAGCAGTCTACCACTCCACAATTGTGTCTCTGATTTAAAAGGATGCTAACTACATTAGCAGATAGATAATTTATAATTATTTTTGAAATGAAATGCTGATACTCCTGAGCTACTGCAAGTTACTCCAAAAGTAGACAATATTTTAAGAACTATTAAGTTATATACTTATATAAAATGCACTAGGTATTTTTTGCAATAAAAGACATTAGTTTTCTACTTAATATTTGAGAAGCTAAGCAAACCAGCACAGTTATGCACTAAAGCATCATTTATAGTCAAGTACCTGTGCTGAAAGTGATAGTTACCTTCTTCCACATCAGATTCCTTCAAATTATTCATTTCTATCAGATTCACTGCTAGTATCAGTCTAGACTTTAACATGAGCACTGAGGAGCTTTAAATGAAAATTCAATAGATAGGTTTAAGTACAACACTGAAGTACTGAGGTATTAGTAATTTACAAATGGGAAGATAAGTCCAAAGTCTCCCACAGCAGCATAAATAAACTGGACTAACTCATAAATAACACTAGTATTAGTGAATGACTGTTCTCTACTAGCTGGACAAGTTAATTTCATGTTTTGCTTCTCAAATTATTTTAAAAAATATAAAGGTTCTCTTATGTCATGAATGTCAAAAAAAAAAAAAAAAAGAAAGAAAACCTGGCCACTCTAGAAATCAGATCATGATCAACAATAAATTCTTAGTGTCCTAAAGTTGCCAAGTTACTGGTGCCATTCAGACATGGCAACCTAAAGTTCAGCAGTCACATGTGCCTGAACAAGGTGTACAGCATGCAGCCTCTGACTCTGCTGGTCACAAGAGTGGAACTGATGACTTCAGGCGGTGACAAGATTTCATCTTTGCACTGCTGAGTGACACCAAGGGTGCTGGTTCCATGCTCACTGAAAAATACCCCATGGCTGACAGAATAAAAATGGCATTTTACTTTCTAAACCTTGACTGTTCATGCAACAGAGCTCATGCTTCACCTAGAAGCAAACTACTGGTATTTATTTTATTTATTTTATTTCTGCATGCATTCTACTGGGAGCAGCTCCACTTGAAGGGATTTTGCCAGAGTAGAGACTAAAGTAGAAAACATGTGACAAATCATTATCTTAAGCCATATGAATACTTCAAGGTTTTCAAAAGAGTATTTTCAGATTAGACTTAAATTTGAATCTCAGAAATCACTGACTATAATATTATGATGCCCACAATGTGAAAAGATGCAATACCAAAAGTGTTATTGATGGAAGCTGCGTGCTAGAATATTAAGTCAGTCCCCAAACTGCTCTTGATGTCATTCTGTCAAAATTAGGCATTTTGAAAAGTATTTTTAATTTCAAACCCTATTTTAAGAGAGCATTAAAGTAACAGCATGTCATGAATTCGATTTTCAAAATTCTTCTGCTTATTTACAGGTAAGCTCTACCCTAACAGCAGCAGTGCAAGCATGTGGTTACACAGTATGAGTTGTAATATTTTAAAATAATGGTTTACACTGTACACTTTACAGTGAACTTGCAGTGACGTGTACACATGTTGTGTGCTCAGACATTGCTCAACACAGGTTTGGTAAACAATTCTAATTACAGAAATCTGAACTCAGCATTCTAGTGGTGGTGAGGTGAAGGGGAGGGCTGTTTTTAGGTTATGGGGTTTGAATTTGTTTTGGGTTGTTTTTTCCCTTCTCCAGATATTGATGTTAATGCAGGCAACTATTGCCTCTGAGCATAATTTAAGCTTTAAACTGATGAAGTCACTCCTGGCTTCTGTGCTTTCCATCTGGATTTCTCACTCCTCCTCCCTCTTCCAACTAAACCAAATGGGATAAGCTAGGTCATCCAAACTAACACTCCTCTGATTCACATGTTTAAACATTAATAGTGGAGAACTAACTGTGGAAATTATTTTTACTACTAGTTAAACAAAGTTCATGTTCAAATGATATTCAATACCTTACATAAAGCTTTTGCCAAAGGGAAATTAAGATATACAAGTCATTTCAGTCAAAATATACAGTCATTAAGGCTGGCAATACTCCCTAGCTAACTAAATAAAAAATCAGTTTACCACATCTCAGTAATCTCCTAAGTACCCAAACAGGACTTCTCTCCCATACATGTGAAAACAAGCACGTGTGTGCCAACACAGGCAGTGGACAAATGTGCAGCAGGACCATAGGATGCTCTTGCTCAGTCTGGAATACACCACACACATGTAGCACTGGCTTCCTTTGCCTTTCTCCCTACACAACATTTCCTTTGGCTGAGCCAACAAGTGTGCCATGGCCAAGATACTAAACCCTGAGGGCAAGGCAACTCTGGATTTGCCTACAAACAGATCAACTGCACAAAAGGACTGATGGGGCTGAAAGATCACTTCTCATACATGACAGAGGTAAGACCCCAGCAGCACTCTGAACAAAGAACTTCTTCACTGGCGTGCTTTCTTCCCATTCTGCAGAACAGCAGCAGAGAAAGCCTTTTTCATCACAGAAAAATGTGTATATGCGAATAGAACAAAGAACATAAAACTAATTCTACAATTCTCTGGCAACAAAACAGCAACCCAAAATAAAGAGCAGTAAGAACCAGCAACAACCAATAACACCATGCTCCTGTCAAGGGGCTCACTCAGGACTACACCTGGACTCCCAGGCATACTTCTCTTACATAACAGTGCCATTTACTTGGACAACTCTATCAAGACATAGCATTGCAGTCTAAGCATACTTTAAGGTTTCTAAAATTGGATTTTCAGAAGTCAGCAACCTTCTTAGCACTAAATTAAGCTAAAAGCATTTGGTTTGTTTGTCTTCCTTCCTTCCATTATTTTTTCTCCTTGTATCTTTCAGCACACTACTTGGAACAGTTCTCTCTCTGCTCCCAAATGATTTTCAGCGACCAAAGAATCAGCACTTTCAGCAGCCCATAGCTTTATCAAATTACAATGTAAAATCCAGCTCAAAAGGGTGCCAGCTGGATCGGAATGAAAACATTTCCTTCCATTTATTGGGAGACACAGCATGAAAACCATCATGAATAACAAGCATGAACCTTTGCTGTGTGTCCCAACATGACATGAGCTGCTGAAGCGGGTTCAGAGGAGGGCCATGAAGAAGATGAGGGCTGGAGCATCTCTTCTGTGAAAACAGGTTGAGAGAGCTGGAATTGTTCAGCCTGGCAAAGAGAAGGCTCTGGTGCAACTTTACTGCAGCCTTCCAGTACCCAAGGGACCCATAAGAGGTTTGGAGAGGG